TGTCTGTTCCCCTTCCCCCAATTCCCCAGCACTGTTCCCATCCCCCCAATTCCCCAATAAAAATCTTAAAAAAAAAAGAATGTATAGACATTTCTATGTCCAACAAAGTAGGACAACTGTGACATCACATCATTCCTTCAAAGTGATACTTCTCACACAGGTTATATTCTATAATTCTCAGCATGGAATACTAACGGAATTTGAGCGCAAGGGCACTTCTTACATGTTGCCCATCAACAAAACATCTCTCTCAGCTTTTAGCTTAATCTTAGCTCAGACACCATTCTGTGTGGTAAACTCCCCATAAAAGTTTATATTATTAAATACATAAACTGGGGCCAGCCAGGTGGTTCAGTTGGTTAAAAGCTCGCTCAAGAGTTTGAGCTCTGAGCAACAGCAGTTCGAGTCCTGGCCCCAGCTGAGCTGCCGCTGGATGTTGGCAGGATGGCTCAGCTAAAAAAATACATACAAGGGCCGGCCGAGTGGCTCTGTTGGTTAAGAGCTCGCTCAAGAGTTTGAGTTCTGAGTAACAGCAGTTCGAGTCCAGCCCGAGCTGAGCAGCCGCTGAGCTGTCAACAGGTGGCAGGATGGCTCAGCTAAAAAAACCCAAAAAACATACATACATACTTACATAAACTTTCATTTCTACAATATATATGCCACCTATATTTTATTTACTTGTCCATTCATTTATTTAACAAACATAAATTTAACAAGCCCTGAGACTAGAAAGATAAACAACAGACCATGGTCTCTGCCCTTACAGAACCTGCAATCTAGTAACAGAGACAAAAATCAAACAAACAAACAAACAAACAAAAAAGTTATTTCAAAAGTTTGTATTTTTTGAGGAAAAGAAAGGGGATCTTGAAAACAAGTAACATTAATAAAACATCATGTTTGCCCATGTCTTGATTCCTTTATCTTCTCAAATTACTCCTTGTGGTCAAATACGACACCCCTCTCCATACCTACTTACACATCTTATCCTTTCTCTCTCCAGCCATTTTACTGCTTTTCCTTTATTCCCATAGTGTGAAACTATGGCAAATATTTCATGTGTGTTTTATCTATTTGATAATATGTTATGTTCTCTTTTTTTACTTTTTCCCCTAATTTTCTTTTAACATTTTAATTACTAGTTTAATTACTAGCTGCCTACCCTACTCCATCCCCTTACTAGTAAGAATCACTTCCTTGTTCTGAAATCAGGCATTATTATCATGTATGTTCTCTGTAGAGAATATTCTGAGATTCTTGCAGAGGTTGGCCTGGGTTAATGAGAATGTAATGTGAACATGGAAGCGTAAGTAGGACTTGCTGAGGTCAGCAGGCAGTCTCAGCACCCCAGTTAAATGCTATTCAGGAGCCATCATCTGGAAGAAATTGTGTTTTCAGCTTATACTTTAATTCTTGTTCAGGTTCTCCATCCTGGAGACTGACTGAAACCATGGTCAGTTATATGGACTTATAAAACCTGTCATTTTAGACAGATTGGGAGCAAAAATAAAATTCAAGAGAAAACTGTTAGAATAATTTTTATGAAAAAGGCCTGAAATAGCAAAAATATAAGTACTTAGTGGCATTAGGATGTGGTTCAGAAGGCGAGAGTGTGTGAATATAAGCTAAAAGTTATATAAACATTCATAGATGACACTGGGGTCAGACTAAGGATTAATCAGTGAATTCTCAATCCTGGAAAGTATCATTTTGTCCCACCAACACTGAGAATAGGCAAGAACAGACTCATATTGCTGCTCATAACTCTCAAAACTGGCTTTAATGAGGCTTTGCTTCCATTATATACATGTAAGATATACATGTGACATTGAACCTAATGACTGCTATGTGTTCTGGGGAGGCGTCAGGACCTGGTGAATAACTGTGGGCTAATTACTTAAAGTGTTTATGATGTGCCAATATTAGCATATTAAAGGGGTGATGCTAATTCCTCACACACAAGTAGTTGTGAAAGTAAATAGCATAAAATAGGTGGTGCTTGGTAAATTGTCTAGAAATAGATGTTCATTAAATGGGTAGAATTAACTTTCCAAATAGCTATCCTTGAAGTGGACAGTGATGCTGGAGGGAGGAGGGAAGGGGAAAGAGAATAGGCAGGGTCTAGGTCAAAAGAAACCTGAAACGTTTTTTATTCAATAATTTAATAGCATCAATTTATTACTCCGAAACTTCAGCTCTACTGTGCCATTTGTTGCGATTTTGTAAGATATTTAAATTCTGCCTTACAACACCATTCAAGTGTTTTTATTTTTAACACTTTTTCCTCAGACTTTGCATTCACAAATTCTAAAATATTATGATCCAAGTCAAGAGAGTTAAGCAAAAGAGTACAAAATAATTAATGAAGTCAGTTTTTAAGGCTTTACTTCCCCTTCTGCTTTCTACTGAGTCTTAGTGGATGGGTAGCTGAGTACACCTACTCATTCTTTGCTCAAAGGTTTAGTGAGCTCACGCTGTGTCAGTCATGTGTCAGGTACTAGTCATAGAACGACTCAAAGGTACTCGCCTCAAAGGGATCCAGGACTAGTGACAGCCGTTTAAGAAAACAAAATTGAGATGAATAATAGTTTGAAACAAAAATGTCAAAGTACAGTATGCCACGACTCTAACACATCCCCCCGTGTGCGAGGTGCCCGCCCGCAGCGGGGCTGCAGCCCTAACCGCGGGGCGTCCTGTCCTTCAGCTTCGCGGCGGCGGGAGGCGGAGCCGGGCCTTGCGGGGCGCTCAGAGCCCGAGGCGGGGCCGGGGTGGGGGGATCGCCGGGCACGGGGCACCACTGGGGGACCGCGAGGGACGAGGAGGCGAGCACAGCTCAGCCCAGGCGGGGCGCTGGAGTTAGCGGGAGAGCAGCGGGGAGCCGGGCCACACCGCCAGGCCCGGCCGCCTCTGCCCGCGCTTCGGGGGCCGGGGACGCGCACCCCGCGGCTCCGCCCTCGGTCCCCGCCCTGCGCGCGGACGCCCCGCCTCCCTGTCCCCTCCCCGCGCTGCCCCGGCCGGCGGCGGACCGCGCTCACCTCGCCGCTTCAGGGTCGTGGGGGTCTCTATCACCCGGTAGTTGTGTCTGCACACCGTGTCCACCTCCGCCCGCTTCCGCTCCAGGATGTCCTGCTGGCTGTTCCAGGACTCGGCGTCCAGCCGCCCCAGCTCGGTCACCGCCACGAACTTCCCCAGGTCGCTGTCGAAGCGCACGTACTCCTCCCGGTTGTAGAACCATCTGGCCACGTACCGCACCCTCTGCGTCCCGTTGGTGAAGTAGCACTGGCACTTAAACTGGACCACGATATCCTCTGCGGGGAGTCAGCGCCGCGGTCAGGCCTCCGCCCTCAGCCCCGCGCGGCCGCCGCCCCGTCTTGGGTCGCGGGCAGTTGGGGCAGATCCACCCGGAGCCCGGCGGCGACCTCGGCGCCCGCCCAACCCGCTCGGAACCGGGACCCTCGGGCTGTCTGAGGGCTTCCAGAGCGGCCTGCGGGAGGGAGGGGACGGAGGGCAGCCTGTCCCCAGGGACAGGCCTGGGACCTGCCAGGGCCTGAGAACCGGCTGAGGGGGCAGTCGGGTGGTTTTACTCCCATCCCGGTACTTAGATCAGGACGCTCTCACTGAAACCTCATCCCCCATAGCACTCGGGGACCTCAGGGACAAACAAGCATCCACAGAAGCATGAGCGTTCAAGGGAGTGACCAGAAAGGTCTGGAAGTAAGCCTGTCCTCCTCCTGACAAGGAATTTCTCTTCCGACCCGGGCACAGTGCCTTCCCTCCCACGCCGGGGTTACTCTGCGTTTCCACGTGAACCAGCTGCAGTGTGAGGCTCTCCCTCCTGTGTGGAGAGAAGGGACCCAGCCTCCCTAGTCCTGGAAAGGACACCTGATTCATACATGGAAAGAGCCCAGGCTTTAATCAGATCAATTAAATTCCAACTAAACTGTGCCTATTACCAGCTTGGGCCCGTTATTTAGAATATCTACATCATAACTGTGTAAAGAGTCATAATACCTACACATAGGGGTGTTAGGAAGATTGAGAAGAATCTAAAGATATTAATCCTGTGTCTAAAATAAATGGTTTCTCCATACGTATTATTTCCCTACTTTACATTCTCCTAAATACAGTCCATTTTGGACACAAGCCTCTGAACCCCGCTTCAGTTAGTATAAGACCACAAATCAGCGAAACTTGAAGTTAACACTCCGTGTCTGTGGTCACTCAGTCGCCTTCACTCAGACACCAAGACTTTGCCCCCACAAGCCCTCCTCTCAGGGTCAGGAATGTTAAGTGCTTTTCCCCAAACACTGAGATGACACAGACCGCTGCTGCCCTATGCGTCCCCAACCCAGAAGCCCACAGTATTTAGTCCAGACAAGGTCTTGGGGGCCCCTGAAATGACAAATCCTGCTGTTTCTTCTTTGGAGAAATTCTTATCTTCAAAAATAACATCCGTGTCACTTTTTCCTGTCACTACTAGTAGAGGCACACTTGGTGTCGTCCTCCCCATTATAACATCCCCAGGTTTGAGCCTGTGACATGGGGATTGTCCTCACCTAACAATTAAAGTGGAAATGAGAATGTATCCAGCTCTCTTTCCCAAAGGGAGGAAATGAGTGATAAAACACTGTATTTTGAGGTCATAGAATTCCCCACACCCCAACTCAAGGGTCCCTCAGAGCCTGTTCCCCAGAGTAGTGGTTCTGGGGAACAGCTGCCCTGCACTTACGTGGAGAATCTCTGCCCTCAGCCACTGGGGCGCTCAGCACCACTAGCGTCACCATCAAAGCTGCTGTCCAAAGGCCCCCCGGGATCCGCAGAGCCATCGTCCCAGACATAACTGAGAGCAAAGAAATAAGTACTGGCAGTCAACACAGCTCACGCCTGGTGGCTCTGATGTACCCACTTCAGAGAATAAAAACCTGTGACAGCGTCCAAGCACAGTAGGCTTGGAGAGTCCCTAGGAAAGGAACCAATCAGCACCGGAGCTGAAGGACCTCATCTGTCTCTGGGCAGACGTTTTTGATGAAGGTTCTCAATCCAATGCCTGGCATTGTGTCTTCATCAAACCTCTCTGGATGAACATTTGAAGTGCAGATTTTCTCTGTAAAAAATCTGAAGATTAATTCCTTAGGCTCTTAAAGAACCAAAAGAAAAGTGACTCAAGAATAGACACCTTTGTCATACTTATTTAAAACCTATTGTTCTTATACGTGCTACTTTTAGTAGGAGAAATAAGTGGGGATCATATGTCAGGGGAAAGAAAATTATTGTCACAGAGATGTTCACTTCTATTATCTTAGACACACCTGGGAGCCTTAAGTTGTGGTGGGAAGAGCAGAACTCTGAAAAGGAAATGGTTTTGAGCTGCAGTTTTACCATTAATGTGTTTTATTTGTTGAAATTACTGAGCCCTTTTTTCCTCAGGCTTCTCTTTGGAGAATGTGGGTCATGTTCCATGCACGTTACATCTCGATCTTCATATATACAAACTTAACAGTAATAGGACTAGTTTAATATTGCGAAATGTTCCTCTGCTGCCATGTATATCTGGTGGGAATATCACGTTAACATGGGGAACAAGAACACAAACAAAAAAATTGACACCCAGTCCTGCTGGCCAGTGATTCTTCATTAAGCAAGAACCTGTTGCATTTGCGCTCTTTGAATGAAAGTATTTGAAAAGTTAAGTTGACTTTTCTTTTATAAGTTTTTCAGCTGCTTAGATCTTCCCTAAACCATGATACAGGTTCATGTGATGTCAGCAAAGGCACAATCCACAAACATTCACAGCATCAGACATGATCACCTTTAGTTTCAATGACAGAGAGCAAGAGATGGGGAGAAGCACTTCCTGGAGCCAGTGTTAATGAGGGAGCAGATGTTTAGAGTTACAGATTGTACTGTGTCAGCCCTAAACATCAGACCCTGGATGGCAGAAGTATTGATGTGCTTTTTAAAATAAATGTGTTATTTATCAGGTTTCTCCTGCACATGACAAGGGGCAGTGCTAACTGGTTATAGAGCAATTAGGACAGTGCCTGGCAGATAGGAATAAACAAGGCAATCACTATCCCTCCCACCCCCGCCCCTTTTCTCTCCTCCTGTATTTTAATTCTCCTTCTAAAATAAAGGACAGCATCTAAAAGTAGAATATAAGGAGATTACCAGGTAAAAAGAAACAGGGAAGAGGTAACAACGAGAAGTTCCCATTAGCGGCACATGGAGGCAGTGAGTTATCCCAGTTTTCTCTGGTGGGTGCATAGTTCCAGAGCACCTGAGACTGGGAAATTGGTCCCTGGGCTCCCACCCGCTGTGGTGTATGCAGGATCAGGGTAACTCTGAAATAAAGAGGGTCTCCACGGTGGGATGGAAGCATAAAGGAGGAGCATCAAGCTCAGATCTGGAGTAGGGTTGGGGGGCATGGAGGAATGGTCAGAGAGGGACCTTAAAAGTGCCTCAGTTCCCTCAGCTGTCACCTCAGGGTCCTTCAGAAAAAGTAGAGGCCTCTGCCCCATCCCCCTCTGTCCTAAGGGAGAAAATTCTGTAATTTCTGATCGGGACTGTGCAGTGCAGGCTGCGTCAGACCTGGGGATTTCCCTGTCTCACATGCCTCTTCACACAGACTCTTCTACTAGCAACAAAAGTGTCACCTTAGAATCCTTCTTCTGATTGGCTGAAACCTCATCTCAAAGGCTCTGGTTTGGGCTTCCACCTGACCCAGTTAGCATCCTCTCCCTTTTCTAGAGTTCTCTGCACTGTCCATCTCCCCTCTGCATTGCTCAGGGCAGCCACTGCAGGCCTGACTTGAGAGGAAGGAACTCGGACTAACATCCTGACTCTGGGCGCCTCACCTAAATCTCCCCGCTAGGCCTCTGTGGAGGCCAGGCTCCTAGGGTGAGGGCAGTGTGTCCTCCTGTGGGTAGGCAAGGGGATAAAGAAACAGTCGATGACATGGGTCAGGGTTACAGTAGGGAGACTCTCCCCTGGGGACATCCTCTGTTCCCTCAGGGTGGAATATTAAAGTGTGGACTCCTTCCTTGTGGAAATTCAGGGAGAAATCATCCTCCCTGGTCAGCACCCCTTAGACTCTGCTTGGTCAGTGGGGTTAATCATGAACGTAATAATCATTTTGTCACCAGAAAGCCCATCCAGGACCCCATTCTGCGTTCACTTCAGAAATCAAGAAACATATATTCAAAGGGCTCTATGGCTTCCTTAATGCCAGTAATAATATAATTA